GCAAATTAATTTTGACACTGTAGAGAGACTCTAGCCGGTAGAAAATTGGAGACGTTATCGCTTTTGGATCTTCTCACAGCGTCAGCTACTTCCAATAGCCTTTACAATCCCGAGGTTTCGCACAAGGCGGTAGAGGACATTGCAAAAATAAGAACTAATAGCTTAGCTTGACCGGTATGGTGCTACAAACACCAGGTGCTGCAAACACCGAGTGCGGGTTCGAAACCTCAAAGTCAAAGGCGCTCTAAACGTTAGGACACGGGCTATGAACCTTATGGTGCTTCAAACGCTAGACTACGGGTTTCAAACCTGTTGTTTTTGCCCTTCAACACCTGGTTTAGGTTTTTTTAAGACGGTAGACGTTGTTGCATATGGAAGAGCTGATAGCTTGGCTTAACCGGTGCAATAAACACCAGTTGGCCAGGTGTTGTAAACATCAGGGTTCGAACCCTCCCAGCGCTAAAAACGCCAGGTCGTGCAATTGCTATAATCACCGGTGCTGTAAACATCATAACGCTCTAAACGTCAGACTTAAAATCTCAAGATGTTACAAAGGCTTGGCTATGGGTTCCAAACCTGTCACTTTTTGGTCCTACTTTTTGCCCTTCGAGATAAACCGCAGGATTTCAGCCTGGTCGGTGTTTGACATAGCACCAATTGTTATCATGCACCTAGGCACCTTTGATACTCTATATTTTCACGAATCTAGGAAAAAGTAAAGTAAAAGTGTATTCTTCTCTCTCCGGGTACTATGCGTTAATGTTCGAATGTCATTTTGGGTGACAACCTTCAGGAAATGCCCAAATGATGTATCCAAGAACTGCAATGGGATTTTTTCTGGTTAGTGTATATCCTATCTCATAGGCCTTGTTAATCTTGGGCTGTATATGACAAGAGTATTGCTGATCCCTGTGGAGACACGGCGAACTCATATTTTGACTAAAGTACCGTTCCAGTTCCTTCCTCGAGGCATTTTAAATTTTCATAGCTGAATACTTAGATAGTTTTGTGCAACATGCTGCGGTAGGAAGTTCAACGAGATCAACAGAACGCCATGACCACCCAAACGGCTAGGTTCTGGCGCCGCAGGCGCCGATCGATATACATACGGGGCCTCGCTAGCTCAATGCCTAGAGTGTGAGACGCGATATTTTACACCACCAGGTGCAAAAATGTAACCCTATAACGAAGGGGACATGAAGCACAAAAGATAAGCCTCACGCGGGGTCGAACCCGCAACCTTAAGATGGCAATGCTCTTGCCTTAAAAGTCTCACGCTCTAGCGTTTGTTTGTAATCATATTGTATTCGGCCGCTTGCGGCCATGACATAATCCTACTCCTAGATACTTCCGAAACCTAAGTCCCATCCAAGTCGTATCTCCTGATCTCCTTCCCCCCATCCGCCATTCACGCTCTAGTGTTCGAGCTAGCGAATTCTTTTGGGGTGATAATCTGTGATCAAGCACAATCCAGCAATTGAAGCAGAAAAAGGAGTTCACCCTCAGTCCTTCAGGCGAGAGGGGTTCTCTGTGAAGGGAGAGACAGCCTTTCCGAAAAGTACTAGGTAGCGAGATACAGAGTAGTGAGGGATAAACGAGGTGGATAAGTGCACGGAGGGGTAAAGGGAATAATGCGAAAGACAAAGCAGAAGTCGAAAGATATAGTAAGGATTGAGTAGGAATGGAAGGAATAGAATGAGAGGGGGTCCAAAAGAAAGTACAAAGAGGAGGAATAAAACTACGGAGCAACGCAGATTTGCGAGGGATGAACGAAAATCAGAGGTTTTATGAAGAGGGATGCCCTAAGTAAAACCTCCGGCGGATTAGAGTTTGGGTGTGTAGCAGCGTGGTTTCTATGAAGAGAGATTCCCCAAGTAGAGCCTCCGGCGGATTATAGTTTGGATGTGCGGCATATTGCGGGGTGAGGTTTCTATGAAGAGGAATGCCCCAAGTAGACCTTCCGGCGGATCATGATTTGGATGTGCGACATGTTCCAAAACGAAGTTTCTATGAAGATGGATGCCCCAAGTAGAACCTCCGGTGGATCATGATTTAGATGTGCGGTTTGTTGCATAGCGAGACTTCTATGAAGAGGAATGCGCTAAATAGAGCCTCGTTTAGTAACTGGCGGATCGTATACTCCAGAGATTGACACAGCACACAAAAGATGGAATACGGCAAAAAATGCAGCCGACGACGCTACTTACTGCCAAGAAAATTGGATACAACCGCCTGAAGATGGGAATCTCTACCTTGAGGTGTGAATCTTGAGCGGCTAAATATTTACATGTGGGATAAACTAACGTATAACACAGTGCACCGTGTACCGGGAATACCTAGATTAACTCGACAAGATCTTGGGTTCAATAAAAGGATACCAGCCAAGTAGGCGTGGAATGAGGACATACTGGAATTTATACGCTGGCGACAAAGGCAACACGGGCAATCACGTATGGAGCTTACTTTAGTGGAAACATATGAAACGAAGAGAAAAGGTAGCTCCCGAATGGATCATACAACACCAAAAGCGTTGGGATAGCGAAGGACACCTAACTTCGATTTTGCAAGACAGGCCAGGATTCGGTACATTTTGGAAGATCGGAAAATACAAAAGACACGCGAGAATATAGTCATGGTACAGGACGAAATCTAAATGACTGACCGCTATTTTCACTTTATATTGGAAGGCAACAGACTCATCTGACTTCAATTGATCAAGGATAGAACACTTGCTCGTTGGATGGCTGTTCATTATTTCACCGAACAGGTTACCGCTGGCACGGAGGGCTTACAAGTACGATTATGATCGCGGGACTTTCAGAAACACGTATTTCTTCCTTGCATTGCAAATTGGAATAATTGCATCCTGACTCCTGAGCACTTGACAATACAGTATCAGCAAGCTCTTCCTCCCGACATAATGCTCTGCATCCCTATCTCACGGAACAATACACCTACAATTCACTGGCGACGTGCGTCAAGGCTGGGTAAATCAATACCACATCCCGCTTTTCAATAGAGACGTGGCCATGGTACCGGTCTAATGCTATCCGAATATATAACGGCCAGAGGAAACTCCTGCTATATAACAGACGAGGCGTACTTCACGAAATTTTACCCGGCCGGGGGGAGTATGGTGAACTTGCGAGTGCTGTCGCATGCCTGAAGGAGAGTTCGGCCCAACTTTGAGAGAGAAAAACCAAAGTATGGAAACCTATTTTCCACGGTACCGTGTTCAATTGTACTAAAGGGTATGCTGCAAAATTAGTGCCAAGAGGTAAGGATGGGGTCATATTTCAGAAATGTACTGACAATATTGAGTTTCCTGAAGGTAGATACTGGAAATCCGAGGGTTCGGATACACTTTAATAGTTCACTGGTTTTTCATCTCCTTTACAATAAGACCTGTCTCGGCTACCAAGTAGTCTTCACCCTAGTAGTGCGACCGGCAGTTCGAATGCAGTTCTTTCAGATTTGTAGGCAAACAAAATAAATATTCTACCATACGAGATGAGCATAATCTAGAGACCAACAGACCCCAGTAAATGTATTCAGGCTTCATTGAAGGTAAAGCACAAAAGAGACAACGATCGCCCTCAGACCGGTCGAAGCTATGATTATGAAACCTTTCTTCATAAGCGGAATTCATGAATCAGAAGGGTATTGTTGAGGGGGCATCAAAAAACAAGTCATTTGGTAGGATTCTATCCGAAATTCCATTGTGAAATCAAGTGGGTTGACTACTGGGTGCGTATGTATGTAAATACTATTCTTACCGAAATTGCACATACACTCTTCTGGTAAGTACTTCCAATTGCGTTCATACTGTCAAAGTAGTTAACCTCAAAATAAGATTGAGAGAGAGTACCCGATATTTTTAGATCCGCACCAGATATCCAGGTAGTCATACTAGGCATCAACACAGAGGATTATTGAGGTACTGTGAACCATCTTTTATTTTATTCTAGGTACTTGATTAGGTCTAACGTACCGTACAGTCTTCAGCCCGAATATTAAAAGAAAGTATAGACTACTTGGTGTTACCTTAATGATTAATTTCGAAGGGAAGCAGGGCAAGCACAAGGGACAAGACAATTGACTCAGCTGTGAAAGATCTTAGGTATGGAAGCGGCCGTGTAGCATGGGCGATTTTACCAACGATCTAACAACCTGCAGATGCCGTCAACGCGCTCTACCAATTGATGGACCGATACCAGTATGCCCCTCAGTTAAACACCCGCAAAAATCACGCGAAATTAGAGGCGATGGACTTCAAAAAATAAGTTCCTGCTATAAAATTAGGCAGATCACGCAAGAGCAAGACTGCATGAGAGAAAGCATCCGTTGGCCTGAATCTCAACCATAAGATAACTAGCACAAGCAAATTGTCTGCTCTCGGCAGAAGCGAGTCAAGGAAAGTTATTGCCTGAGTATGGGTCAGGTCCAGATGGAAGTGAGTTTTGAAGAGGAAGACTGTGGAAGGAGAAGGGCGACTTTTTGAGATCTCGAGTACTCAAGAATAATGTACCGGATGAAGAGATTAAATGAGCCCTAGCCGTTCTACCAGCACGCTGGTATAAATAAAACGGCGTCATCTATACTCCCCTAGTCTGAATAAAGGTTCTCTGTTGAGTGCTCTAAATGTGTGCGCTTGTACTTGTGCTGCTTGATGCTCTCGCACACGCTGTAGATGAGACTCCAAATAATATCCCCATCATCAGTAGCCTCATTGCCACTAATATACATGCACTCCCACAATGTTACAATGTAGTACAGCAGCCTAGTTTCTCCACTCATCTGGTCTCGACTGCTGAGTTTCCTGGTACTCTGAGGTTTAAATGTGCTTGTATCTAGAGCACCGTTGAAGGCAGGCTTTGGAGTCTGAAGGGTATTGCAGGAGAATAAGTATCCGTTGCAGCACAACTCCTAGTCCCATCCATTTACCGATCGATTCCATATTGTACTCTTATGTTACTGTTTCTTTGGATAAACATCATCGGGCCTTGCTAGCTCAATGGCTAGAGCGTGAGACTTTTAAAAAGAGTATCTCAAGGTTGCGGGTTCGACCCCCGCGTGAGGCTATCTTTTTGCAGTCTGTTTGTTATTTACTCATTCGATTGACCATGTTGAATTCGTAACTTCAAAAACCAGATTAGATATCACGACCTCTCTCATTTCACGAAAGAACTGTTACTTTATGGGAGGCACCGTGTGCGTATGTGGTAAGAGAGATAGGAGAGCCTCGAGACTATCTGCAATGTGTGTGGGGGGGGGGGGGGGGGGGGGGAGCAGCAAGCAGTCATAAATGCAAGCACACCTTTGTATGCAACAAGAAAAGCAACGAGTTAATCACTTGATATTTATTTCCCCAGTGGATTCAATCTTCGGGAATCTGTACTTAAGTACATATAACAATCCCTAGGAAGTACACAAGAGGGCTATCCACCATGGCCACAACATTCCTTACAAGCGCCATAGCACACGCAATAAATCCGCTCATCCATCAAAGCTCCTCTCCGAAGTGCCAGTATTTTCCAGTAAGCTGATTTCGTCAACAGAGCCCTCGATCGTGATGTCCTTGCCGATCAGTTCAACAAAGCCTCATAACTTCCATTGGAGGTACCAGTGGAGTGTCACTATTTATCTTTGGATCCTTCAGTCAAATGGACGAGAAGGCACTTAAGCCTTGTATGGGTCCTCCAGTTGCCGACCTCTTGGTTAGACGTGAGAGTGAGAGGAAGGGCATTCCCATTTCAGTATATAAATGTTTCGACATAGCTGTTGCCACTGGTAAACTATCCACCGTCGCAATTGAGCAAGTCCGAATCGTAGAGTAGATATCGACCTCTTGTTATGCCGTATCAACCCAAAGATTTCATTTATACGCAGAGGAGCTTTCGTATCGAACTATAGGAGGCAGGTGTCGTAATCTCAATTGTAGGCTTTGAGTGCATTGACGACTCTGGTGACATATCCATGGCGACGTGATTTTGACTTGACTCTTTCCCAGCCTTTCTTCATATTGTATGATACTGGGTTCTTAAGAAAGCCTCCTTTGCAAGATTTCTCCTCTTCAAGTACTCCTTTCTATCTTCCGCAGAGAGCTCTGTGTATGGCCAGAACCCCATACGAGTGGTGATCGGAGTAGTATTATCGAGCAACTCTTCAATCTTCTTCTGGTCTCCTACTCGCGAAAAGAGTTCACTATGGTTATACAAAGTATTAAGCTACAACGGACGGAAGGATATATAACATGCTAGCTACCGTATCTACTCGGTGATAAGGCGCTGGACTAGCATGCACACCCATGAGGACCCACTTCCCGGTCACTTTACCCCGATCTTAGTACAGCCGAGAGACCATTAAAACTGACGACATACCGAGAGGTTGTTGAAAGACCGAATCCACTCTCCAAGTACGTTGTCGAGGAGAGGATGCGATGACAGAAAGCGCGTGTTGTTGTTTGGGTGCTTTAGCACCGAATATTGAAGCGGAAAATGTTCTATCGTCGAAGAAGTCTTCGGCGTGATACCTAAACCTTAAAAGAACGGTTTGGCGGAATGTTTTGTCTGGCATTCGGAATATGCTGACGTTTTTCGTCTTGGGTTGAGAGAGCGGAAGTAAGATAGGTATGTGAGAGAGAGTGTGTGTGGGTGGGTGTGGTGAGTGGGGGGGGGGGGGGGATTCTAAAGACGAGTTACAAATGCACATATCAAGCACTCTGAAGAAGTCTACGTGCTGCACGTACTTACTTAAGTACTTAAGTTTAAGTATGTAGACCTCAGGGCTCCAAAGGTCAATACGCAGAATTACTGCTACGACAGTATGCAGTTCGTTCGAGACTACCTCCTCTCTTCGCCCTTCTCTTCATGATCACTCTTCAACCAACCCATAGTCACAAGTGTCCGTCCGTTGTTGCAATATATGTGTATAGGACAGCGCCAACTGAAACAGCACCAATTCACCAATCACCAATCTTTAGGCCTCAACACCTTGAATTGACTTGTGACTGTAATCACTGTATGGGAGCGGTGGATATATCATATCACTCCAAATGGCCTAACGTAGCCGCGTACAAGGAACACCAGCCACCACCTCCTTGAACGACAAATTCAACTCTCAAAGTAGTCGAAGATCAATTGACTTTGTTATTCTTTGATTTATCCAATTAAGTAGGTTTGACCGACTACGGCTAAAAGCGGGCGTTTAAGACCTGGTTTAGGCATTTATATATGTAGCTTAGCGCTTGTCACAAAATGATGCATCCCCGCATCCGCCAACGCTAACTTTTGATATCATAACCCAACCTACCATCGCAAAATGGCAAGCGAATTTCTCAAGACAGACCTCGACCTCTCGCATCTTAACTCAGACCTCCATGGTTCCTACCGAGTTCTTTTCATCTGTCAACCCTCCACTCTGCAACAAATCGGCCCTGATATTTTACAAGCTGAGGGCCGATTGATATATCAGCAGTGCTATTTCCCAATGCCCAAACACACCACATTGCAACTTCCGTACGACTCCGCGAGATCATAACTGCATTCGACCATGCAGTTCCCGAATCACTGATTCAGCCAGATGTCCTGGTCATCCGCCTCAAACTCAAGAACGGCGTTGTAACCGGGGCTGTAATACGAGATGCCAAAATCACCAAGACGAATTCAAATTTACTCAATTTGCGAACATTGCATCCCGATAGTGAGCTATCGCTGCGCTATCCGGCTAGCTGGCCAGGTTATGGCCCTAGTATTGGAGTTCAATTATGGGAACGAATGGTTGAGGCTAGTAAGAGCGATGGGGCCTAGAGGTCATTTAGGGAGATGATTCAAAATGGTAAATTTTTGGAGACGCTTGAAATCGAGGTTGAGGGTGTGGAGACGGACAAATAAATAGAGCCTCCACTAGAGCTGTGATGGCCCCTGCTGCAGATGGCAGTATATAGCCTAGAGATGCTGTATAAATCGAGATGGAGCTTGGATATCGGGGCGCGCAGGGACAGTCAAAGCTTGACTGTCTGGCGGAATGTTCTTAACTCCCATTTAAGCGACTCAGAGCAAGTGACAATCACAATTGAGAACATAAATTTAACTTTTATTGAGAGATGTACATGCTTATTAAAACCCAACATACATACCAGACTGCGGAGAACGATAATATCCTGGCTGCTTCTGGTCATGGTTTCTGGTAATGCGGGGTGCATCAATATCAACCTCTATGGTACCTTCAAACAGAGGTATAGTAGGTTCCATGCTGGGGGTAGGCTCTGTATTCACCATTGCCTTTTTGATTACCTTCTTAGTTTTTGGTCTCTTGGCCGCCTGTTCGACTATTCCAGCTCTTGTCATTCCGCAAATTCCCAAGGTCCAAAAGTCCTCTCGCTTGCCAGTGCCATGAATCGCCCTGCATGCAATATAGACTTCCCATTTGCAATCAAGACCATGGAACACACCATCACGCAAGCGCAGTTTATTCCCCTCCTCGCTGATTCCACCAGCTTCATGGTACTTCTGACGGGAAACCGGGATGCCTCCAGTTTTCTGGTATTGCGCGGTTTTTGCTGGTGGTGAACACATATGGATCGCTTTCTCTCGGCAGTCCCAGATGCCGTGACAATAGCAAAGCCACTGCAGAAAGCAAATGTTTGTAACCTTCGGATGGTATCTCCACAGTTGGATACTGCTCTCCCAGATGCAGAGATACTGTCCATTGCTGTGGAAAGGAGTTAATCGTTTCTCGAATAAAAGGTTCGATGGCTAGGGGCTGCAGCAGGCCATCTGTGAACTGGAGACCACTGCTGTCTCACTTGCCATTTCTTGCTCGCGTATGTCTGTCATTGCCAGCCCCTTATCAACATATTGCGAGGTTAGTACTAGTGGTGGTATCATGTTCTCAGTACAAGATATTACTTCCGCTTCAGTTGTGATATGCGGCGGCGGCAGCGGCAGCGGTGGTGGTGGGTGTGGTGGTGAAGGAGAATGGTGTCAAGAGCAGTGGAAGTAGCTGGTAGCGATGATGGTGGGCACAGCGACATGTGGCAGTTCATTAAGATGGAAAGGTATCAATTTCGTACTATCATTCGCATATATACGGCGTTAAGTACATTCCGCCGGGCAGTCAAACTTTGGACTGTCCCTGCGCGCCCCGCTTGGATATAAATCTAGAAATTTCTTAGCAAATGCAAGAAGTGATCTGGTGAGCAATAAAAGGACGCTGTTAGAGATGTGCATATATTCTCACCCGTCCTGCAGAGATCATATGATCTCACCACAACTGGTTTGAAAATATCTCATTATTCTGTGGCTCTGCTTTTTGTAGTTGAGGCGAGTCAATCACCTTGAATATCCACATTGCATACTTGCTACTTGACTAGACGACCCAAGTCCTGACTTCTGATCATTAGTTTCATCGATTGAGGCTACCTTCAGATTTATGGTTACAGTTCTGTGAAAAGACCATCTTTAGACGGACAATAACACACAACTAAGGCTTCAAGTTAGTTATATCCATCTGAAAATGCATTTTTCCAGATACTAACTCCTTTTTTAGGGAGGAACTTGAGTTAACGTTACTCCACCGAAGGTTTGGAACACGAAAACGCCGATCTGGAGATCATACAAAGCGCGATCAAGACATCCCAACGACTCACCACCTAGTAGCGAGCTGCAAGTAGTAAAAAATAGTATCACCTCTGGATTTTCACCGCCTTCACACATCAGCCCGACCGGTCGGTTCCTCTTCACTTACCTTCGCAGCGTGACCCCTTATCTCCTGGCGTGTATGATCTACGGTCGATGGCGAGCGAATTGCAAAAGTTACCGTCGTATGTATTATCCAATCCAATGTTACGGTACAGTTCAAGAAGGTGCACCATGAGTTTTATTTATCTTTACTACCCTATATATCCATGTTGGAGGGCTATTAAGCAAGCATCGCATGAATCAAAGAACTCCACTGATTATTTGGAAGTACCCTCAGTCACACAGAAATTTGTTCCAAAGGGTGCTGGTAGACGCCGACGACATGACGGTACTGTTATCCTGCTGCTATAGGGCAGTGCGGAGGATAATGGTGATATATC